CCCATGCTTTGTTTTTATCGTGAATGCTAAATGCATCGGTTTTCTTATTTTCCACCACTTTATTTAATTGTATCAATTCAATAATTAAAGATTTTTCGGATGCTGAATAGGCAAGTCCTTTACCCATTTTGACTAGTCGTATTTAAAAAAATGATATTTTTTTGAAAATGTATTTACATAAAAACGAATATCGTATAATAATATACAATTCGTGAGTGTTAACAGTGATAATGAGTGATAACAATCAATAACCATGTGTGACCATGACTTTGGTTATCAAAATAAGAATAAGAATTACTTTTGCTTATAACTTTTAAAAGTATGACTTAAGCCTGTTTATGAATACTTATGATTAAGCATTACTTTTAAAAGTAAAAGATAAGAATAGACTTGGGAATTGATTATAAATACGGCCCTTATAATTTTTAAATAATAACAAATATTTAAAATAGTTTGAGGATAAATCGTCATCGTTACGCTATTACGAAAAAATTTAAAATTCAAACGCATTTAAAATTTTTCCTATAATGATGCTTTGAGTTTTCTCTACAGCTACTTGAAGGAAAACTTATGGAAAACTTAGTGTTGTATTTTTAATCCTTAGTTATAAACGCAAAAAGTTTTATGATGTTTCAACTTCAAAATTACTTGCAAATTTTCGCATTTTAAGCTAGAAATTCATAAAAAAAATTTTTTTTAAGTTTAAGATTAGTAAGATTTGAACACTTTTAATAATCTATAATATATCCTAGACGACCTATAGACAGATAAACCGTCTCCGCTCAGAATCGTTTTTCGTATACAATGATATAATATCATTGGATTCAAATTTAATTCCATCCATTACACTTGTAACCTTCTGTACAGCAGAGCGACATCCATGACTTACCCGCTTTTTTTTTTWTTAGCATTTGGAAGTTTAAATATTGACAAAAATTAGTTGAAATCATCGTTATTTGCAAATTATTTTGTAGGTAGTTAAAATTTATAAAAAAAATTTCGCCACMATTTTTTTTAATTTATAAGTTTTTCCACGTTTTTTTTTATTTTTTTATAATCTTCTAAAAACATTTATATCAGCCTCAATTTTATTTTTCATTATTTTAAATTAAATTGTGTAGATATTAGCAGGGGCGGACTGAGTTAATATTTCAGGCCGGGAATTTTTTTTTGCCAGGCCAAAAATTAATAGAGGACCAACGATTTGGTCATAAACTCATAAGTGTGCAAAATAAAAAAAAATAATAATAATGATAAAAAAAACTTTATTAATTGAAAATTATTTTCAAAATTTTATGTAAGATATATGAAACCACACATAATATATGTGAATTCGATTCAGAAGCAAAAGCCAAACAAACTGAACAAAATAGTTGTTTTGATGATTCATCAAATGTTAGCCATACACGATTTGTTCCGTTTTCTCGAAGAAAAATCTTATTTGAATTGAATGGGAGGCTGGGATCTTTTGGTTGACAAGGGTGGTACTTGAAGAAATGAGATAAAACAGTTGAACTTGGCTTTATAAACTTATTAAATACTACTGGAGGACTTTCAGATGTCGAACATAGAACTTCTAAAAAAAAAGTACAAATTTCATATAATCATATCGAGTTCATGAAATAAGTAACGTTATGGCTTAATGTGTTGATTAATTATTATAAATAAAAATAACATTGAAAATGCTTCTGATATTGGATATATAAATAAATTACTTAAGGTATAATATAAAAACTAATACACTTAAGTGCAACAACCAGATAAATCCATGCTCCCCTCAACTTTGACAAACAAATAGTATCCCCARATTTTTTTTTTATTCAAAGTTTACAATATTGTGAATAATTATACAAATAATAATAAACAAACTAGAACAAAATTATTTTTAACAAGTATTTAGTCACTAAAAAGAATTTTCTTTGCCCGGGACAATTTCAAAAAGTGGATTTTTCTAGTTGTTGCAACAAGCCCTTCAATTGAAAATTAAAGTAATTCCCACCATATTACGCCGCTACGATGGGTTAATATTAGGGGAGACCGGGGGCAAACGTAACATTTTGCACTTTTTAACATTTTAAAGACATTTTTGTACAGATTTCTGATTTTTGACATCACCATTTGATAGAGGAACTTGTTAGCTACTCAACTATATTACAAAAACTGCTTAAATATCAACCTTAGTAGTAGATATTTTTAATTAAAAAAAAAAAAAAAATGTTACAAATGTCCCAGACCCCGGGGTTAAATGTAACACACCTTGGGGTTAAATGTTACACATACCTTAATTTCGTTTTTCAATAATATTAATATAATTATATATGTTTTATTAAATTAAAAATTAAGCCTGATAACCATGACATATAAGTAGATGTAACCAAACTATACTAGACTCAAATCATCATGATATATATTGATTATTAATACTTAACTAAAAAATAATTAGGAACAAATAATTCAAAATTAGTTTTATTTGTAGGTACCAGTCTTATGGTTTTATTTCAAAGGAACTCAATCACAACATATTTTTAAACATTTTAAAATATCAATTGTTAAAACATAATAGGCATATTGTAGTTAAATAGTTAAACAATTTCTGATATAGGTAATGGTAATAACAATTTACTAAACTAATATTTGTATTCCCACAAAATGAGAGTTACCAGTCTTATGGTTTTAAATTATAATTATAATGCTAATTGTAAAATATAACAACTTAATATGTTTTTTTAAATTATTCATAATATAAAAATAACAAAATATTAAATAAAAAATAAACGTAAATCTTGACTTTAGACTTCAAATTATTCATAATAATATATATAAAAATAATAAAATAATAAATAACAAAACAAATTTAAATTTTGATATAATTTACTCAYCTGCTTCACAGTTTTCACATGTGTAGTGAGCTGTGAACATTTGGTTGGTACAGTCTTCATGTGCCCAAAGTTTACATTTTTTGCACTGAATCCATGTCTCTCCTTGTTTACTATTGGAATACAGATCAGCACAAACTAAACAATATGTTTCTTCTTCATCACTATCATCATTACTGACTTTTTTAAGTTTTTCTTTTTTCCAAAATCTATGTTTCTTTTAGCATTAACTTTTGTTCTCTGCTCAATCTCTATTTTCTCTGGTGTATCAGTAAGTATTGCACTTTTTCCTTTTCTTCTACCTCCTTTATTTTTAATTTTATYTTGTAATGCTGCTTTCGGATATGGTCTGATATGTTCAGGTGATATTTCATAACTTAGATTTTGTGGACATTGTTCATCAATAATTACTGGATTTATACTGTCTACTGGCTCGTTATTAACATAATTTAATAGATTTTCAYTAATATTATTTACTATTTCTTCAGTAGTTGTATTTACTATTTCTTCAGTAGTTGTGTTTACTATTTCTTCAKTAGTTGTATTTATTACCATATCGGTGACTACTGATGGAGCAAACTCATCTTCTGTAAACACATCCCTGTTGAATGGCCAAATCCCTGACACAGAAAATCCATTAATAATGTTTCGAGGAGTAGCCGCACTAACTAAGGCACTGGAAGATATAGATGGTACATCATAAATAGTTATTCTTTTCCCAGGRTTATTTGTCATCCAGGAAGTCATACTTTGGTTAATATATTTTTTAAATGGTCCATATACAGATCGGTCCAACGGCTGTAGTTTGTGTGAGCAATGCGGTGGGAATGATAATAATACAATGCCCACTTCTCTACAAAAATCTATCACTGGCAGGTATAAATGAGATTCGTGGTTTTCAAGAAGAACAAGTACTTTTTTATCAACTGAAGGCTTTACATGTTTGGCAAAGTGCTTCATAAACTCTAAAAATTCATTCCCTTGCATCCAGCCTGACTTATTTGCAACACCAACACAACCAGATGGGCCTCCTTTTACAAAGTAATCTTTATAATTAACCCTTGGGAATACAAACATGGGAGGAATAAAATTACCGATCGCATTTACAGCCAAACACATAGTGACTAATGTGCCACGTTCGGCAGATGTGATTGCACCAACTTGTTTTTTACCACGAGATGCTACTACCTTTTCTGTCTTTTGGACTGTTGTAATCCCTGCTTCATCTAAGTTGTAGATATCTTGCCCTTCAAATTTATACTTCAACAAAACTGACTGATATTTGTCCATAAAATGTTTAACATTCACCTTGTTGAAGTTCATAGCCCTTGATAAGCTTGTCGCTTCGGGACGACGAATGGAAATTGATGGATTCCTCTTTAAAAATTCAGAGAATCAATCAACACCAGCTTCCTTGTTGTTTGTCCAATTCATTGGTACTTTTAGTCCTAGTTTAACTGCAAACTCAAATGACAATTTTCTAACTTCTTTAGGACTCAAACCAAAATACATATCAGCTGAATTTTTTATATAGTCTACAAGTTGCTTTTCATGGATGTCATTAAATACTTTACTGTGTGGCCGGTAACCAACTGAAGGTAAAGTACTACCTGTTTCTCTGTGGAGTTTAAACTTTTTTATATACCTATTTAAACTCACATGGCAGATATTTAAACTCGTAGCTACAGATCGTTCCGACATATATTCATCCAAGCATAGAAGTGCTGCTGTTTTCATTGTTGTATCAGATGTGGTGCCTCTACTAGTGGTTCTTTCTCGTTTTCGAGGCATTTTGTCAACTAAATCAAGTATAATAATTAATAATTAATACACCATGTTAATAAAAGTTTATATTTAAAAAAATATAATCGATTTTCATACAGAATGTTACAATTGACCCCAGTCTGTTTGTTACTATTGGTCCCATAAAAAGTTTTTTGAATCAATGCGAAAACAAATTATGAACTTACCTTAAAATTTAATTTATTATTATATAATCGTAATCTCCGGAAGATTTACTTGATGATACTTTGAATAATATATTAAACAGCGCAAATACGATGGCGTAAAAAAAAAACTTTAAAAAAAAAAATTCACTTTTGAATGTAAAAATCGGTTTTTACTGATTATTTGATTAACAAAACACGATAAAGCCAAACTGATAACAGGATAAGATGACAAAAATTGGGGGACAAATCCCACACAACATTTGTCAATCATAACTATTGTATCAATGTTTAACTTTAATTGGAATTTAAATATTTAAAATTAAAACATTATTCAACATTGAATAGTTATTTAATTTTGTATATTATAATTAAAATAATGAACAACAATTAGTTAATATTGAAGAAAAAATATTTAAATGTTAACATACATTTGCAATTGTATAAATTTTAATATTTAATATCCATTTAACTTACTAAGATTAATCATTAT